CCATTGTATTGAAAACAACAAATATTTTTTCCATTTCATTCATTTTTTATTAAATTAAAACACTATTCCAGGTTTGTAAATATTTTGTTGTGTTTTTCGTCACTAAAAGGAGTTTATTGTTGTTTATAAGAAGGCAAGATAAATAGCCTGAGGTCTGTCTGAATTCAGAGAGACATTTTGACTATTTATTCGATAGTCCTCTAATTGAACCATGAAATTTAAACAGATCTTTGAATTTTTCATATTGCCATATTTTACAATAAAAAATTTAATTTCTTAAAATTGTGACGTCATTTGGTGATGAAAATAATTCAGTTGTTTTTATATCTTATAAATATTTGCTATCTTTATGCTGACGGATATTTTTATTTTATTAAAGAAAAAATAACATAGTTTGTAAATCATCAAGTATTATTTTGAATTTTATGACGTCTGGTAATACGTCATATGATGACGTATTTGTAAGCAGATTATGACAATATGATTTACGGTAATTTTTTTTCTAGAAATTTTTAAAATATGAACAAATGTTGTGCATAAATTTCATTTTACATCCTTAAAATATCATTCTTCTAAAAGTTCGAATTAATCTGAAAGTAGTCCATCAGATTCATAATATGATCAAATCAGTCTTCATGAAGTATTAGGGTAAAACGATGACCTTTTTTTTTAGCAATGAGTTCAATCGAAAATATCAGTCTTTCCACTTACACACGTATCACTACTGGTATAGTCTTTTTTTTTAATATGTTTTTTTTGTTATCTATTTAATCCAAACATAAAATTTTGTATATTCGGTACAACTTTTTTGTTCTGTCTGAAAACTGTTCCACATATGCTAACCGATCTGTTAAAATCTCTTTACATGAACTTTCTGAATGGAGCTTGAGAGACCCACTTTCTACAGAAAGATACTTGAAAGATCTAGCAGTCGTAGAAAACATCAGAGTCATGATCAGCATCGAAAACAATTTATAAGAAACTGCATTTCATGGAGAAAGAGATCGACTACTTGAGAGATTTTCTGGTAAGATACTCGTTTATATAAGAAGACAGATGCTGTCATCTAGTTTCTAACAGCAATAAGAATTAGACTATATTCATCAACAAGTATAGAAATTCGCATATTTTCTCAAGTTTTATCACATTTATTCGTTGCTAACAGAGATGTTTCTCAACGTTTTTAAATGCGTAATGTTATAATAAAAATTTAATTTTTATACTATTACAATATCACACACGAGAGATCTTTCCGCTTTACCGCATAAACAACTTTAAGTGAGACAAACATTAATTCATCTATTCATATTCGTACATGTAGTACACTCAACATAATTTTACAAAAGTGTATTGTTTAACTTGTGTACTAGACACATCACTTTTTCACAAAAAATAATCGTTTAAAGTTTTGTTTCTAGGACGCTGATGATTGTTTTCTTAAAATTAAATGTTCGTGATATATCAAGAGTCAATCAATTTATGTCTAATTTATAAAATTTTTGATACAAATTCTCATTAATTCAAAGCCATCAAACTGATGTCGATGGATCATACGTCGAACGGAGCCAACAATTCATCAAATCCAACTGACAGCATGAGCTCCGACTCAAGCGTAAGTCATTTGGGGAATTCAACAACTATAACCACTGCATCAACATCATCATCTACATCGTCTAAAAATGCTGAAATAATAAAAGGACAAAAATTTGACGTTGCACCACGTTATACAGATTTGAGATATATTGGGGAAGGTGCTTATGGTAAGTTGTTAATGCTTTTTGTTTTATATTGATTTCAGTTTTTAATTTCATTATAGGTATGGTTGTATCAGCATTCGATCAAATAACACAACAAAAAGTGGCTATAAAAAAAATAACTCCATTTGAGCATCAATGTTTTTGTCAACGAACATTACGAGAAATAAAAATTTTATCTCGTTTTCGTCACGAAAACATTATTAATATTCAAGATGTTATACGAGCACCAACAATCGATCAAATGAAAGACATTTATATTGTTCAATGTTTAATGGAATGTGATATGTATAAACTATTAAAACATCAACGTTTAACAGAAGAACATATTTGCTATTTTCTCTATCAAATTCTAAGAGGATTAAAATATATTCATTCAGCCAATGTGTAAGTTAAAATGACTTCTTATTCACACCTTTTCCCCAATATCAAAATTCAAACAAGTTATCACATTTTCATTTATCTGAACTTTAATTGAATCTCAATCAGAATAAGATAATTTACAAACAGTACTAACATTTAACTATTGTATTAGTAAATGAAAAATTTTAGAACAACAATTCTGTACAATTCTGTACAATTCACATTTTGTTTTTTAGACTACATAGAGACTTAAAACCGTCCAATTTATTATTGAACACAAATTGTGATCTAAAAATTTGCGATTTTGGATTAGCTCGTGTAGCCGATCCTAATCATGAACATGCTGGGTTATTAACCGAATATGTTGGTAAGTGCATAGTTATTCGTTATCAAAGAAATAACTTTGATGTTTTCTCTTTTAAATATCAACAGATTAGAAATTAGATTTTTGTTGAAATTGTTCCACATATGCTAACCGATCTGTTAAAATCTTTACATGAACTTTCTGGATGGATCTTGAGAGACCCACTTTCTATAGAATGATACTTGAAAGATCTAGCAGTCGTCGAGAATATCAGAGTCATGATCAGCATCGAAAACAATCTATAGGAAACTGTATTTCATGGGGAAAGAGATTGGACACTTGGGAAAGTTTTCTCGTAAGTTTCTATTGTCAAGCATTTATGACAATAAACTTACGTCTCTTAAAAACTTTAAAAAGAGAATATATCTCATCCAAACAGTCCTGTAAAAGGTTATAACAGTTGTACAATCATATTTTTAAATTAAAAAAATTCTATTTCTTTTTTCACAGCTACAAGATGGTATCGAGCACCAGAGATTATGTTAAATGCTCGTGGTTACTACAAACCAATCGATATTTGGAGCGTCGGATGTATTTTAGCCGAAATGTTGACAGGTCGACCTATTTTTCCAGGTAATATACTTATTTCTCTAATTTACTTTTTATCATTTACATTATTTATTTGTTATTTAGGTAAACATTATATTGAACAAATCAATTTAATTTTAAATGTTGTTGGCAGTCCATGTGAAGAAGATTTAAATTCAATTGTGAATGAACGGGCAAGAAATTATGTATCACTATTACCTGTTCGTCAGCGTACACCATGGAAAAAATTATTTCCCGATGCAAATGATTCAGCATTGAGTATGCTAGATTATCTTTTAACATTTAATCCAAATCGTCGTGTTTCAGTTGAAGAAGCTCTTGCACATCCGTATCTCGCTCAATATTTCGATCCGACTGATGAACCGGTTGCCTCACATCCATTTACAGTTGATATGGAATTTGACGATTATCCAATTCAACGATTGAAAGAATTAATATTTGAGGAGACAGATTCGATACGAGACCGATTATTAAACAGAGATGGTTAATTGGAATGTTTCCTCATTTGTCTTTCACAAAAAAAATGTGTGTACAGGTAGGCGGACTACAACACATGGATTTCATTCCTCTCTACAACTATTTATTGAAATGATATTAAGTTCCTACTTCTTTGTTTGTTATTTATTTATTTATTTATTTGTGCAGAGTATTTTGAATAATTAGGATGAATAAAGCATTCTGTATTGTTTTCGTTGTTGTTTTGTTAATTAATTTATTTTTTGTTTCGACGGTGATTTTTTTTTTTCTTCTTCTATTTTTCATCTGTATGGTTAATTATTTATACTCATTCCTGAGAAACAATGGTCATCACCTTCTCTTCCCAACTATTTTACACGTTTTTTTTTTCCTGTTTTTCGTCTTGGTTCTCATCTCCACCATACACACTTACTGTATATTTATTCGTGTTGGCTTTGTACTTGTTTATCTGTGTATTTTAATGTGTTTTTTTTTTGTTCCACTCATCATCAATGTCATGTTGTAATATATAAATAATATTGTTTATGGTTAATGTATGATAATATGTATAAAACAATCGAAAAATATTTAGCTTTATAATAATATAAACAAATAAGCATTATTTTGGTGAAAAAAACAAACTATTTCCGTTGAAACGCAACATAATAAGCCAAGATAATATTCGTTGACGATGATATTTCAAAATACGGTAGACATTATCTTAATCATCATGCAAGATTTTTTTCTTGTTAACGTTTCATCGACAATCTAGAAATAATAACTAGGTCACTTTAATCTCTCTAAAATAATAAATTTCTTCAGTCAATTGATATCATGACAACTAAAGATATAATAAGGTATAGTATATGCACGACAACAATATCAAACATGTAAGTTCGGTTTTGAAAATTCAGTGTCAAACTATTTTAGTATTTTTCTTACGAGAAACAAACAATTTTATTGGAATATACAGTATTATCTCACACAATATCACAGTTTTTTTATTTCTGAACAAACTGCTTGCAAAAATATTTATATTGAAACTAGCATTCAGTGGCGGATTTACAGTGGGTGCGACTGCACAGGCATGTATACAGAATTTTTGACAGAGGAAGATCAAAATTTTTTCAATCAGTAGAAGACGTAGACTCTTCGTTTGCTTATGATTCATATCTTTGATTTTCAAAGTATAGCGACATTACGAATAAGTAGGAACAGATTTTTTTCAGAGAGGATTGGTCTCCTAAGCCCTCCTCCCCTCTAGGGACGTGCGTGCGACTACACCTACCGAAAACAAAAAGTTTTGATTTTTTATCAGCAAAAAAATGTTTTTTCAGTACTCCGCACCCATCGAAATTCTTTTCGTTTGTACCGCACTGATCGGAAAAATTCTCTATATCCGCCACTACTAGGATTCATGTAAAAATTCACACATAAGAAAGGTTAACAAAAATACGAATAAAAGATTTCGATCTAGTAAAGTTTAAGAATTGAACTAGAGCCGTTGTTATGCTTTAAGTTTTGGATTTTTCTGTAAACAAAGTAACAAGTTTTGTACATAAATTTAATATTTTCGTTTCAGCCATACTTGGAACATGTTGAATACTAGACAAAAAAAAAGAGAACAATTATCTCAATCTATTAACAAACTCGGCACGTTCATAGCTCACTCTTTTATTGCATGTTGATAGACACATGCTCCGTGATTAAGTGTTTCAATTAAATTTTTCTGAATATCCAACTCTTCTTCGATTGGTGCTTGTTGATCAATAACATTAATTAGGTCACTTAATTGATCAATTGTTTGCTTTAAATTTTCTACAAAAAAAATGATCAAAAGTTCATTTGGAAAAAGACAGTGTTTTATATCTGCTGATGTACCTTTATCACATGCGTCATTGCTTGCTACATTATGTATTGAAAGATAATTAATTTTCGAGCTCAACGCATGATCAACTGCCTTTTGTATTAACAAATTATCAGCAAATATTTTTTTCATTTTAAGCAATGTTTGCCCCTAAGAACAATACAGAAATAAACAGGATAGATTTTTGTTTTCAATCAAACGGTAATGTAAAAACATTTGTTTTATGCAAATAAACGTTTTTCTATGAACAAATATATGTTCATTTTGAAAAACATGAGACCAACCGGTCATAATTTAGTTTGGACAATGAAAAACTAAATACGTACGAGAACAAGTATAATTTCATCAGTTGATTGATCAACACGTTGTTTTTTACTGGCTGCGTTCATATTCATCATCTCATTAGAAATTCGATATGCTGTCATTTGCAACTGGCCAATGTAGCGCTAAAATGAACAAAAATAGGACGAGACATAAATAATACAAGATAAAAGGTATAATAGAAATACCATTAATAATCGATCATTTTCTTCTGTTAATTCATCAAATAATTGATTGACATACATAATTTGTAATAGATCATTATAGATAACAACTTCTTCTCGAAAATCTTTTTGTGTAGCAATTTCTTCGCCGTTTTTCAACTAAAATATTAAACAATTTCAGAAAAGGGTCTAGTGAAAATCATTAACTTTTGAAGTTACCGTTGGTGTACGATTTACTCGTGATAAAACAGCTTTTCGGTTTAATGACGGGGACGCTGGAATGTCTTCACGAACTAAGTAGAAAAGATACAAAACAGAATCTACACACAAAAAGACGCATATTTTCCTTCAATACCTGGTGCTAACATAGCCCGTTCACCTAATGGCGTTGATGCTAATGCTGCTTTACCGCCTGTTGGGTCTCTCAGATTTACCAATGCACCTTGACTAATTGACTACAGTAAATTTTAGACTGCAATTATTCTGTTCATGACACTCAGAACTAGCATAACATACTCGTCGCATCTCCGCATACACCGGCTGAACTTTTTGCTGTTTCTGAAGATTGAGCATCGCTTAAGAAGCAAAAATAGAAAAATTTCGAAAGAAATTTTTTTAGAATAGAGATGGTGTCTGCATACAAACTGTTTTTTGGATTGAAACTCTTGGCTTTGGTGGCAATATTCCCAAACGTTTTACAGATGACACATTAGCATTTGATACCGATGGTATAACAGGAGCTCTGAACGGTAAAGAGAAGTCGGAATAATGAAAAAAAAATAAACTATTTTGCCATACTTTGGAGGTTTTGCCAATGACACACCGTATTTTTGAGATCCAAACATAGCGAATGTTGACACGTAATAATAAATGGGCTACTACAACAAAAAAACAAAGTTTTGTTAAACTCCTGAATCATTATCAAAAACTCAAGAATGACAAACAATAAAAAATGACTAAAGATTTGTAGAGAAAACTTAACAAAAAATTTTGTTTGGTAAACTCACAGAATTAAAAAATTCTTTTTTCGCCAAAAACAAAGAAAAAACCTCTCTATAATGAGAAAGCATATCTTATAACCAATCAGAGTACATACAACAGAAAGACAGGTCGAATGGAGCTACAGTCTATGCTCTATGTGGGATATAATATAATAGTTTGTTCCTCTTTCGAAGGGCCAAAAATAGACCAAACTGTCTTTCTTCGTATTAGTTATACATGTAGTGTACTGTACATAAATTTGGCATAGATTCAATGAGGTATTTTACAACATTCAGCAAATACTTACAAGAATTTCTGTATCAAGCAGCGCTCAAAATTCTGTATCAACTACTTATATTAGTTTTGATCATACGTTTTGAATAGCTATCTATTGAAATTCTGAAAATAATCATATTGATTAATTCTTCTCTAATACAAATGAAAACATATGTTATCATATGGAAAGCAAATGTTTTTCTCTTTCTCGCGCTATCCTGTAAAATCAGAACGGAAGAAAATAAATAAATTTCATCTTTAGATTTTTAGAAGCATCTTAATTGAAACCGGGGTAATAATTGACATATTCACGAAAAATAGTGGAACGGATGACACACAATTAATTGTACATCAAGCAAATGAAGTATTAAGCTAGCAGTTAGAGGAAGGCGCGACATCTTTTGCATCTTTTCTTTGGTCCATTTTGCACCAATGTACGAGTACAATCCAACAATACTTCGAAGTTTTCTATGTGTCTTTCATTTTCAATCGTTTTCTTGAAACACACTTCTAATCGTTTGTTTGTTCTGCTGTCGTTTTTCCTTTGATTTTAATAAATGACATAACTTTATTCGACTTTGATGCGTCGCAATATTTTCAAAGAAGCTTTTTAACTACAGTATTCTGCAAAATTATAGATTCACCTGTTCAAACCCAGTTGTTTGATCGCTCTCGACTACTGTACACTCTTGTGCAAAGAAAAATCTTTGTGACTAAATACATTCGAGTATTCTCTATCCGAATATGAAATCAGATTTGCTCAATACGACCTTCAAATTCGAGAAAACAAATGTTTATTGAAACA